TTATTTTCACCGTCCCTTTCTGTCTCTAATATTCTCACATAAACCATCATTTAATTATCCCGAAGTGGATATATCTCTCTAATAAGAGTGTGTTAAGTGTGATAACTTGAAGATTTTTATTTTAAAAATCCAAACGTTTCTTCCAAAATTCCACCCATAATTAACAAGCCCTGAGGGGCCAAAATTGCAGATAATCGTTTCAAAGCGTTTTTGTATTCCTCTCTATTTAAACAACAATACTCTATTGTTAGAAATGTTGTTATAGCATCAAAATAAATTTGAGGGGATAACTAGAAGGGGGATTTTAAATTAATTAATTTTAAAATTTAAATAAAAGACACTTGAATAGCTGGAGATATATGGCAATCACAATGGAGAATTCCACGTACCTATATTAAAATAAATTAATTAATTTAGGTCAGAAATTTAGAATTTCCATCCAAAATTAAAGACTGGACTGGGAGGGTATGAGAATTGAGATAGAAATCCCGAGTAGAACAGGATCGGGATCTAGTCTCAGTTAGGCCTCTACGAAAAGTACCATTCTCTAGTTTACATTTATGTAAAATCCGAGATCCGTAAGACAAAGAAAAATGTCAATTGTGTAAAATCCGAGATCCGTAAGACAAAGAAAAATGTCAAAAAAAATGTCAATTATATATGTATTTATCGACATTTGCGATGAGGTTTGTTTTCAAAAAATTTTCCACAAATTTTTATTAAAACGCAAAAAAGTTAATTTTCTCCCCATATATCAATCCACAAAATTAAAAATTACTTTATCCTTTGTCGATTTCTCCATTTTCTCTATATCTGTAGGTAAAGGGAGAGCCTCATAGACAGCAATTAACTAAATAAAAATAAATATCTTTAATTTTTAAAAATATTTTCTAGAAAACTTAACTAGAAACCCTCAACTAAAAATCGGAATTTTAGAGATCCCAAAAGTATTATAATTCATAAAAAAGTTTTCCCTTAATCCCCCCACTCTCTTAATAACTCGAAATAAATCATTCTTAGGCATTCAAGGAGTCCCCTAACAGATAAACTTTTTTAAATTTAAACTCCCTCCTCCTTACTCTAAATATTTTAGTCCAATCAAAATTGGAATTTCCACTTAACCAATTATTTAATTCTTTTTTGTTTTGCGGCAAATAATCAGAAAGAAAAATATTTTCAGCTTTTTCTCTGAAACAAATAGCCACATAAATTGTTGGTCCAGAACCAAAATCTAATAAATTATTTATTTTTGTAGGTAATCTAGCTATTATTGAAGGTAAATGAAAGAGAATTAATTGCATTGCTGGGTCTTCTAATTTTGAATAAAAATCCTTTAAAAATTAAATTTTTTTTAAAAAATTATTAAAAAATTGGAAGCAAGGGTTTGATAGCATTACTCGAACCCCAATACAAAATCCGAAATTTTTTGGTTCGAAACTAGAGAAAAGTTCGAAAATTTAACTTAATCTTTTTTGGTTAGTGGATAGCCAATCTATAAAGTAAAATGTTTGAAAAGAGGAACTTTTCTTCGGATTAAGTTTCAGGTCGGAAAAGGGTCCGGGGTTTCGGGTACCTCGGTCGGTATCTCCCTAATTATTGGGGCAGATTCCACCTTCAATTTTTAATAGATTCCCTGTCTAGTGTAGAGACCGAATCTATACGATATATTGATGGAGGATATCGATACCGATATTCTCGAACGACCACTGAAGTTCGGTTTCTAGTCTAGAGTACGTTTTAAATGGGATTAGCCCTTCCTTTTTCCTTACAAAAGGAACTGTTCTTTTCATTGAGTGTTAATTTTTTGCGAGATTTTAAAAAAATTATCTCTAAGAGATGGCCCCGTTCTATATATTTATCCAACAATTTTTAAATTTAAATTAATTTAAATTTAATTAAAAACCTTTAAATAAGCTTGAGTATCAAAATATTCATGAAAATGGTTTCTATTAAAAATTATTTGTTGAGAAAAATAATCTGAATTTTCTTCATTTTTTAATATTTTGAAATTATTTTTAATTAATAAATTTGTTTTTTGATTTTCTTTTTGTTGTTCTTCCAATTCATTATTTCCAGTCATTTTATTTTTTAAATAAAAATTTTTTTTTCTAACAATCAACTGAAATACAAAAAAATTTCCTTTCTCCTAAAATTAGAACTTCTCTAATCAAATATTTTTTATAACGTTTTACATTAAATAATGGGAGAGAGAGACAGTTACGAGTCTACCTTGATAAATTAAATTTAAAAAATTTTTTGTCTGGTCAATAAATACTTCAAACTTTGGATTAGATACCTAGTCTGTTCTCTAATTCACAAAAAAATTCTTGGGTATCAAAATATTTTTTTGGTATCGAAAATCTAGTTTTGTAGTTTTGATTGTTTTGAGTTGAATAGATTATTCTGGCAATATAAAAATTCCAATTTTTGATTTAAGGAAATTTAAGTTTTTGGGAGGATAAAAGACCTTTTTTTGCTTTTTAATGCTTTCTAAAAGCTTTCTTAATGCTTTCTAAATTTTAATTTTTTAGTAAATAAATATATGTATATATGAACTACATATTTATGAGTTATAGGCTTTTTAAAAAATAAAATAAATATATTAAAAAAAATTTTTTTTTTATTTTCTCAAAAAACAAAACAAATGTTGCACAGATTAACAGGAAAAAATAAAAATATATATAATTCTTTTTATTTATTTTAAACTGCAAATCGTGTTTATAAGAAGGAAATATTTTGTTTGTGTGTTGATAGGCTTTAAAAGAAGAAAATAAAAAGCATAGATCGTTTTTTTCCTCAATATTTTTTTCTTCATTTTTTAAGACAAGAATGAAGACATCGAGACAGAAAAATTATTATTTTCGAGAATTTTCTTTTTTGAAGGAAAAAAAATTTTTGATGAGTAAGATATGATCAAACCTTATATAAAATACCCCCTAGATGGACGAAAAAGTCTCTTATAATGAGTTGGTCTTTTAAATAGAAGGTATCGTTTAAGCAGTTCTTTTGCTTAACGATCAAGGCTGTACTTTAGTATAGGCCCACCGAGATCGGAACTTGTGGTATATACCATTCGATTCGTCTCGCCGAGCTGAGTTCAAATATGCAAGAATTTTCTGCGGGAGACGAAAACTCGCAGAGATACAGGCCCCCAAAAATTGAAAAACCATAGGGGGGACCAAGCACTTTTTTGGGGTGAAAAATTCGCATATGCAAATGATAGCTCATTCGAAAGAGCTCCTCGAGCTGAGTCGAATGACACCAAAATCAACGAAATCAGACATGATTGGACAAAGTTATGATCTTTTCTTTTAGCTCCTTACCTATGGCATTTGTGGAGATTTTTCTGCTACGGAGGCCCCAAATACGTCCAGACAAGGGAGATAGGAATAGGTTTATGTTACGAGCCCAGACCCAGCGCCCGTAGACTCCCCGCGAGGCGCGTGCCGCAAAACCCCGCGCGAAGCGCGGGGTTTTGCACAAGCGCCTCGCCTACGCCCCATAGGTTTAGGTTTTTTTGTTTTTTTGTGTCATAACTTTGTCTAATCTTGTTCAATCACGGTGATTTTGGTGTCATTCGACTCAGCTCGACGAGCTCTTTCGAATGAGGTATAATTTGTATAAAAAATTTTTTATTCCAAAAATCGCCCCTTTGGATCTTCGGTTTTTTGGGGCCTATATCTCGGTCCAATCAAGTCGGATTTTGTTGATTTTGGTGTCATTCGACTCAGCTCGAGGAGCCCTTTCGAATGAGCTATCACTCGAAAAATCGAATTTTTCATCCCAAAATTGTGCTTACTCCCCCCTATGGTTTTTCGATTTTCGGGGGCCTGTATCTCTGCGAGTTTTCGTCTCCCGCAGAAAATTCTTGCATATTTGAACTCAGCTCGGCGAGACGAATCGAATGGTATATACCATAAGTTCCGATCTCGGTGGGCCTATACTAAAGCGACCCCACGATCAACTAAAATTCAAGTGTATCTAGTATTGAGCGTATTTGGTAAAGAGGTCTAAATATTTGTTGATGATATTTTCCTTTTATCAAGAAAAAATCTGATAAAATATTTTTTTTAATTTTGGAATAATAAATAAATTTGTTAAAAATTCAAAAAGAAGTAAGAGATTGAAGTGAGATTTATATTTACTCAAAGGTAAAAAACGGAACTAGATATTCGAGTGGTAATGTAGTTTTGATTGACTCTGTTTCGACTTATAACATTCGATGGAGAGATTTTATGAATTCATCTCTGTTATGTCCGAGGGTTGTTCGAGACTCGCACAAGAAAAGTTGATGCAGGGTGGCAAGAATGGACGCCAAAGTGGACCAGACTGGAAAAGACGAAAGAGATCAGGGACTAGCCGGACTAGTATGATCCCGGCTAGACTGATACTCACACTGGCTTTTATACTATAGGGACACCACTACAAATTAGTCTCTCTCCAACGTGATATTCTTTCCAGCAAATGCTATAAAAGCCAGCCTTAAAACTTAACCCCAACCAACATTCAACTCAACCGACTTCCATTCTTCTAAACTTCGCTCGTCTACACTACATGACCAGCCGCAACAACCGCAACATCGTCACTGCCGCCCGAGGAGACACTCCAAGAGGACGCTCATCTTCCGGAAGCACCCCAAGGACAACTCGTCAATCGGCTGGGCAGCGAAGCAGCAGCGAACGACGACGTCCACAGAGCCGCCCAGGTACTACTCGACAACAGGGAAGACCACAAACAGCCGAAAGACCTAAAACCGTCGAGGACAGCAACGAAGATGCAGCGTTCATTGAGCAGCTTCAGGCCTGGGCCCAGGAGACTTCGCGGAAACAGCTGACGGATCTGGAATCTGAGTTCGAGCGTCTTCAGAGCCAACCGCGACCGGAACCATCTGAGGAATTTGCACGGTGATTTTTTCTAGCTAAGTTGTTTTAACGCTCAATTATTTTTATTTTATTAGCAATCCAACCCTGAACCGTTATCGAGATGTCATCTGCGTCGAGAACAACCGGGTCGCTCTGACAAACGGACGCTACATACACGCTAATTGGATTGATAGCCAAGGTGAAATTTGGTAAGTTTAAAACAAAGCAAAACTCTTTTTCAGGTGATCGGCGATACATCTGCACGCAGGGCCCTCTTCCGCAGACAGTTGGCGACTTCTGGGAAATGGTTCTGCAGGAGAAAGTTGAGGCGGTTGTGATGTTATGTGACACCGTTGAGCTCAATCGTCCCAAGTGTCACCAGTACTGGCCTAAGGATAATACACCAGAATCGGTTAGTTAGCCTCTCTGTAGATTAAGTCACTAATTTAATGCTTTTTTCTTTTTCAGGCAATCACCAGTCGGGACGGCAACATAAGAGTTCGGTTCGTGGACACGGAGGCACTGGACGACAACCATCTTATTCGGACACGCCTGCAGGTCACCAGCGACAATCCAAAGCGGCAAGCGAACGTTCGTCACTTCCATTGGAGACGTTGGCCCGATCGTGGAGTGCCTATGAACCATCTCGCGGCGCTGCGACTGCTCTTCTACATCGGGAAATACAAGCCAATAGTCGTCCACTGTTCGGCAGGTGAATGACCACAATAAAAAAATTAATTTTTGACCAATTTTTCCGGCTTTTAGGTATTGGCAGGACCGGGACTATCGTCATGATCTACTTGGCTCAGAACACACTGCGCTCTGGGCAGCGTCTGGACTTCTACGAATTGGTGGCAGATTTGCGTCGTCAACGGGCAGGCAGTGTGCAAACCCTGGATCAGTACCTGTACATCTACAGCGTCTTTCTCCGGTAAGAGATACTAAAGGCACACCTTACAAATTCCTTAAAATTTCAATTTTTCCTTCACAGGTACGCGAAGAACAAGGCTGATGCGGGCAGGTTCAAAGTGGACACGGAAGCAATTGACAAATTGATTCAGGCCATATCTAAGCGCATCTACAAGCAGACTAAGCGTTAGTTGGGACAGAGGAATGTTCTGCTGTGATATAGTGATATGTTCATGTATATTCATTGTTGTATTTTGCTTGTGTATTCGCTTGTATTTGTATGTTGACCTCATAATTGTATATATATAGTTGTGATTATGTAAATAAATATATGTATTTGTGTTTTTTTGTTTTGTTTTTATCTTAGGGTCGAAATAAACGTTTAGCCTTGTGTTAAAATAAGGAAAAGAGCTGCGGGAGGGGTTAAGGTAGTGGGAGGGGTTTAGGTAGTCGGATAAACTGAGCCCTTGACTTTTAGGTCATCAAGAATTTAGGCGTCCAAGAAAAAAATTTTTTAATGAGTTTCAAAAATTCAGTCATTTCTTGAGTGTTGTCATTTCGGTCGCCTAAAGTGTTGTAACTTTACTAGGGACTTGAAGTGAGAATTTAACGCAAAGAAAGTTGATTTAATTTTATGATTATTTATAACAAAATCAAAGCTTTGTGTGTAAAAATAAAAATTTAGGGCACAAAAATTAGCTTGAACGTTTTTTACATAAAAAAGGTTTAAAAAATAAAACAAAATTTGTTGGAGCTTTAATTACGCGAGTTTAGAAAAATATCAATTGGTAACTTTAGACTTGATTTTTATTTTAGTATTCATTTTGCTTGGTCATGGGGGAGAGATCTGCTTAGAGTTAGACCATCCACTTTAAAGTGATCCTAATTTTAATATGTACGATTTTCACATTTAAAAGGGTACATGAATAAGTGAGGTCCAACTAATAGAAAATGCCCCCAAAATTTTGAGATTCGCCGATAAAACGATTTTTTAATTCCAAAATATTTTTCCCTTAAATTCTCACTCTTTTTTCACTTCCAAAAATTTCACGATAAAATTTCACACTTTTCGATGTGATTTTAAGAGTGATTAAAATTTAGGTGCGATTTCCACACTTAAAATTCCATACTTTTAATAAACTCGCGCCCCCTTCCATTCCCCATTAAATTTCCTCATTTTCTTAATTTTCTTTAAAATTTCCTTTTCATTTTTTACGCCAAGAAGGAGTATAACCGGTAGTAGAAGGTTTATTTTGTAGTTTGTCTTCAATTGGTTGTTTTTTAGTAGGTGAAGAATTTGTATTTAAAGAAGGTTTGGTGGTGTTGTTTTCTTCGGGTATTTTAAATGTTTTTTTGGCAACTGGAGGGGGAATTATATTTTGTTTTTTGGGAGGGGATTTGGGGGGAGATTTGCTTAGTTTTCTTGTTGTTAGTATTTGTTTGTCTGTTGAGTTTGTGTTTGCCTTTAAAATTAAAAAAATTAATATTTAATAAATCTAGAAAAATTGAAAAAAAAGAAAATTAAGAGGAAAAGGCGAGAAATTAGAAGAGATATTTTCAATAAGAACCCAGCTGAATTTAAAACGCTTAGGCGGAGGTTAAACGATCTAAAAGGATGAAAGAGAAAGCATTAGTCGGTGCCCCGGTAACTCAGAGGTAGAGCTCCTGTATATGGTGAGCGAAAGCTCCTGGCAATAACTGGCAGGAGGTCATTGGTTCGAATCCTACCCGGTGGCTAAACTTTTGCCAAACTCTTTCTTTGAAGTAAAATTAATCCCGATAGATTTCATCCTTTAAAAATGTGTTTTTGCGGATATTTAATAGAAAAAATACGATACATATGAGAGAAAAAATAAAGTATTTAAATTTTAATAAAATAAAAAATTTACCAAATTTTTATTTTTAAAATTATTATTTAAATTTCCTCCACCAATATTTTTAACATTTTTCTTTTCTTCATCAAAAGATTCAACAGAAGAAATACTTTTTTTACTAAGAGATGTTTGTTGCTGTAATTTAGCTTTAACATTCTCCACTAATTTTTCCCCTCCTTTATTTTCCTTCTTTTTCATCATCAATTTCTTTTCTTCTTCCCCATTTTCTTTAGACCCCATTTTCTCAAATTTATTTCGTAATGCCAAAGAAGTTTTTGGAATATTTTCTGTTAAGTCTTCACTTTCTCTTTTAGCCATTCTGTCCCTCCAACTTGGAATTTTGTTTTTTGTTGTTAATTCTTCTTTTTGTTGTTGTTGGTAGTCTTTTTCGATATTTGGTTGTTTTTTTAGTACTCTTGTAGGCTATAATTAAAGTAATTAATTAAATCAATTTTAAAATTCTGATTTTTTCTGATTTCTTTTTTAATTCTTAGTTTCCAAAATTGTTCCAAATTGTTTTTAATATTTCCCTTACTTCATTCATAAGCGATTTAGGAGAGGCATTATCCTATTAATTTTTAGTCTACAAAAGTTCCTTCAAAAAATTTAAAATTCCCCCAACTCCTTCCCCCATTTATTCACATACTTTAGGTTGTTCCTCCTCATCTTTAGAATCTTTGCTTTTAAGCCGGGAATTTGGAGGCCATTTGGAAGCTGTTGCAGCAGCATTCTTTTGTTTTGACTTTTCTGCCAAAATTGCCCTCTCTGCATTTTTTTCTGGTTCATAAGGCTTTTTGGATTTTTCATCTGCTTCGCGGGCACGTTCTCTAACTGCTGTCTATAAAAATTTAAATTTAAACACATCATCATTTCTAGTTGTTTAAATTTTGGCCCATTCTCTCAAATTATTATATGTGATGTTCCTCTCACTCTATAAATGTTCCTTCCAGCCTACCAGATAATTTAAAAACCCTCACCTCTAAAATCACCGAAATATCCTCTAAACTTAAACTTTTAGATATGGTTAATGTAAAGTATAGTTTCCCTTATAGGGAGGGTCAATTATATAGAGAGTCCATTAAATAGGAGGTACATTATATAGAGGTATATTATAATAAATAGGGGATGTCTGTCAAGAAAATTTTTCAAAAAAATATTTTTCTATTATAAACCCCCAACCTTCTTCTCTAAATAAATAGGTTCAGATTCAGAAGTACTAGGCCTTGGTGTATTAACACCAGCAATTGCCAATTTTGCAGGAATATGTTGTTTAGCCAACTCTGCTGCAGCACCACTAGGTTGCCTTTTTAATGTTTTCTTTTCTTCTTTTGGTTTTTCTTCTTTTTTGGGGAGTATTTTTGTTGGGGATTTAGGTTTTTGTTCTTCTGCAGCAGCTTTTTGTTCAGCCAACATTTGACGTCGAAGAATTCTTCCTTTTTTAATTTAAATATTTTTTGATATTCTTCTTAACTTGCTATAGACTTGACCCCTAATTTATTATCTATAATCTATCCCACATTCCCAGATATCACATATTTCCAATTAATGAAGTGATTATGTTCCCTTCACACTATGTGTACCGTTCAGACCATGTGGGATGTTCCCTTAACATTATTCTCTTCTTTCCAGCTTTCCAGACAAAGCAGAACTAAAGACTGGGTAAAAAGGGTGTTTCGGACTCCTCAGGAAAATTTGTTGCTTCTTTAATTTATTCCATTCTTAAATCCTTTACATACCCTTAGATTTGGAAAATTCCTAGAATTGCCTTTTTAGTAAAATATCCCCCCAAAAATTAGTAAAACTTACTAATTTCTTGATTTCTAATAGTAGCTTGTTCTACTTTAAATCGGCCTTCAGGCAATCTTAAATTAATACTAACTTTTGTAAGACCCCGATTTTGCATTATTGCCTCAATAATTTCTCTTTCTGTTTGTGTTGAAAAAGCTACACCCTTAAAATAATAAAAATTGAAGCTTTTTGGAATTCTTTTAGAATCCTATAATAGAGTTAAACACTAATGTAATCACTACTGTATTACTAATCCCTCTACCGTACTTATTATAGTTATCTACTAAATAGTGTACGCTAATTAGAGGGAAGACTCATATAGGAGCAAAATAATCTGTAAAATAGAGGTTAGACTCCCATGCCATATAAAGGTGTCCGAGGGTGTCCATAAAATAGAAGGCTTACTCAAAATAGAGGGTTTAATAATTAATCTTAAAAATTCGGTGAATAATCTTTTCGTTAAAATGCCCCCACACAAAATTTCCTCCAAAAACTACTTACTTGATTAACAGCCTTAATTTCCTCAAGAGACTGATTATTTAAAGCAGCTTTAAATAATTTTGAAAAAAAATCTCCGCTTAAATAATTTGTTTCTAAATTTAAACAACGCAAATTTGTATTTTGTCTAATAACTTCAATTAAAGGCTCCAAATCCATATCATATAAACCCATATTTGCAAGTGAAAGTTTTTCTAAATATTCATTCTCTTTAATTGCTTCTATCATTCTTTTAATTTTTGGTATTGGAGTTCTCTTTAAAATTAAAAAAATTTTTTTTGATTATTTTTAAATTCCATGAAGCCATAAACAAGAAAAAAGATCATTAAAATAATTTAAAAAAAATTTTATCCTGAAATTAACAAAAAAAGCTTACGACACCCTCGATTCCCAGGACGTCTCCGTTCCAAGTACTAAGGAGGCCCAGCGTTGCTTAACTTGCCAGATCGGACGGGATGGCGTGCTTTCAACGCGGTATGGTCGTAAACGAATGACTCTCTTCTTTTATTTATTATATAGAAGAGTGAATGGAAAGTACCGTATTTGAAATATAAAGGGTTACAAATTAAATAAAGGTTTTTAAGAAACTTATAAATTTAGTAAATCAATTTAAATTAATAAATAAAAATTTTAAAAATAAATTTAAATTAAAAATCACCTTCATATTATTCAAATTAATTTCAATTAATTTCGGATCATTCTTAAATAATTTTTGCATACACACTTCCACATCTGTGTCATTATCAGGCTCTGTAGGCCTTGTTTGTTGGGGTAAACTTGATTTAATTGGTTCATTACTCGTTTCTCCTAATATTCTTTCTGCTTCCTTTTTTATTTTAATTTTTAATTTTTTTGAAATTTAAATTTACACTTACATCCCAACTAATTATTCGATTTTCACTCATTGCCACTAAAAATAATTAATTTAAATATGTCTTGAACTAGAAAAAATATATTTCCTTTTTTTAAGAAAAGGAGCAACAATTTCTAAGGCTCACCACGTTCGATTGCTTCACTTTTAAAAAGATTAAACCCTCGTCTAAATGCTTGATCTCCCCTATCTTAGAAAAGGGAACAAACAATAAGGTAATCCTTAAGGCTGAAAACATTGCTAGAAGCATCATAAATTGAGGGTATCGCTTAAACAACTCCCCAACTAGTGGCCAAATGAATTTAGAAACTCGTCTATATCGAAGAATATCCAAATAATTTAGGGGAAAAAGATTCTTTCTAATTGAGCGGCGTCTCTACTTAAACTGCGATCTCTAATAGAGCGGTCCGTTGAGAGGGGATCGAGAAATAGAGCGACGGCCTTCAGTTGAACGGCAGTCCCCAATAGAGCGGCGCTTTGACAGGGGGTTGAAAAATAGAGCGGCATGGTCGCTTAGAGAAAATACGGTACCTCTAACTTAATTATTTCACTTTATTCCAGCTTTCTATGTTGATAGGGGAACGAGGATTAATTAAAGTATAATATCTTTAGAATAGCTCAGTCCGTCTCTAAATTTTACAGGGGAATATGGAGTAAACAACACCCACAAATATTATCTTTTAAAAAAATTCACAAAAAATTAACCAATTAATTCGTTAACTTCTTCATCCCCCTCCTCTTGTAATGCAGCCATTGCTTTCTCAAAATCTGCATCTGTCATCTAAAAATATTTTTTTTGTAATTTTAAATTATTTTTAAAATTACAATATCTTCACTGTCCACAGATTGCTGCTTTTTTGAAGTCATTTTTTAAATTATTTTTTTTTATTATTACTAAAATTATTTGTTAAAAATAAAGCACAAATAGAAATAAAAATAAAATCGGATCTTGGTTTTACGTAACACCAACGATCCTACCTGCCGTGTCGATTCCAGAAATCAGGAATTTATTTTCACGTCAGCAGGATTCCTGTTAAATACTCTCGATTTTACGTACTCTCTTACTCTCGATTTTACTCTCGATTTTACGTACGATTTTACGTACTCTTTACGTAAAATACTCGCGATTTTACGTAAAAAATCTAAGGGTGTAAATATGTATGTACATCCGAGTTCCAACTATTTATTGATTCAACTAAGAAATTTTTAATTGAAAAGAAAATTTAAAAAATTAACTTTTAATTTTGTATTTATTAAGAAAAGTTTATTAACACCGTATGGAATATCTAACAAAATCCTATAAAGATATACCTCAACTTTAGACACAGTTAAGTAAGGAAGATTCTCAAAAACAGAAATTCAAAACGATCGTTCTTAACATCCGAAGGGGTCTTATATGCAAAGATACTACTGTAAATACTCTGAGTAATTATTGCGGTGCTTTGGGAGTATCTCACCGCATGTCTGCAAAGGATAGGACGGGATGGCATGCTTTCAGATCGGAACCGGGACGGCATGCGGGGAGATAGATACTCCCAAAGTACCATTATTGTTTTAATCTCTCAACGGAAGGGTAATTATTTGAGGGAGAGAGGGAATTATTTCAACATTTTTAATAAATATTCGGAATCTACAAAAATATTTTTTCGAGAATAGACAGCGTTTACTCGAGATAATGTCCATCAGATGCCCTAGACTAATAAAAAGTCAAAAATAAAATAATTCCAAATAAAATCCAATTTAAAAGAACATGCAAAAATAAAATATAAAGCGTCATCCTTTTCAGATAAATCTGGATTTAATCAAGTCCCAGACAGGGAAAAGGTAAAAGCAGCTTAATGGAAGAAGCTTTGATGAATTTATGTTGTTTAATAGTGTTCTTCTTCCCTTCTTCTCCTTTCCTTATCTCCTTCCTTCCTTTCCTCCTCCTCCACCCACCCAAAGTTCCCATTCTTATTTGCAATAAACACACACACATATACAACAGTCCAGTCAGCCGGTTAGTTTTAAAAAGCTGAAAAATCTTTTTTCTTCGATCAATCCCTTCCCTTCCCTCCCTCCTTTCCCTCCATTTATTTACCTCCTCTCTAAATTTTTGCCTCAATTTTCTCAAAGCTTTTTTCTTCCATTTTTCTCCTGCCCTACAACCCTTTCCTTTCTGTCCCAATCCTCTCAAAATTCTTTCTAATGCTTCTGATCGATCTGGTAATGTAAAAAGCAAAATGAGTAATCAAAGAAAAGGGACGTTTAAAAGAACGAGAAAAACAAACAGAAAAATGTGTGGAGGGGGGGGGGGGATTTTTTGTTTTTAAAAGTAAAGGAAAGAAAATGTTTTTTTGTTGGAATTTGTAAAGGAGAAAAAATATATCCTTTTACTGATCCATTAAATATTTTTCTTTCTCCCGGCTGCTAAACTCGAAAGGAGAATAAAATATTTGAGAAAAATGTGTTTTGTTTTATTTTTAATTTTGTGAAGAGGTGTTGATTGAATTTTTAATTTAAATTTTGGCAAAAAATTAAGTCAAGAGACGGCAGCAAAAGAAGATATGCAAGGAGTTAAAAGCTCTGTGAAGCAAAGTTGATATAATATCTAGTCCATTTTTTGCTTTATTGTCGGGATTTAATATACCTTTGTCACCCAGAGAATTTAATAAAAAAGAGTTAAAATAAATTCTTTAGACGAAAATTTTTTTCCCAACTTTGCCCAAAATTAAAATAAATTTTTAAATTGTCGAAAAAATGGCGAAGGTCAATAATTTGCAATTGGGTAGAAGTTTTACATGTTCTTCCACTAGCATTGTAGTTGATGTCCATTGTTTGTATTCATTACTATTTATCTAGATAACCCAATCACTCCGGACCTTTCGCATCACTTCTGCCATGGAAAAGATTTGTTTATATTATGGATAAAAATATTTTAAAAGAAAAGTGTCGATGTGTAGTTTTTTTATTTTTAAATAAGGAGAATAATGCTTAACATTTTATTTTTTTTATATTTCTTTTCATTCTCTCTCATAACAGAAAAAAACATTTTGTGATAGACACTAAAGTCCCGGTTCGTAAAACGATTCCGCAACAGCTGGGACTTGTAAATTTGATGCTTTTTGGAATCAGAATTTCACTGAGGAGACGACAACGTTTATTGTTATCTCAAAAAGATTTGATAATTTTTGTATACATATAATTTTAAGCAAAGGTTGGAAATTGACAAATAATTTAAGGCAACGAAAAAGCCAATTCAAGATTCGAGATTCACGTCAGTGTTACAATTGTGGCATGATTGGGCATTTTTTCCGAAACTGCCGGAAACCAACAACTCTTAACAATTTTCAAAAACTAAAAAAGGAACTGATAAGGGAATAAAAAGGAAGGTTTGGCTTTATGGGGTAATTTTTAAAGGAATTTTCTGTAAAAATTAAAATATCTACTCCAAAAAAGCGACGGTCAAGTAGATGCAACTGGGTAGTTTATGGAGAGTGAGAGAGAATATACGCGATAACCCAGTTACTCCGGACCTGTCGCTGATAATTGTCGTTTTACCTCAAGTTTATATATGATGCTGAAAACAAACTTGGAGAAATGTGTCGCTTTTTATTTTCTAGACTGTTTTGAGGAGAAAATTGTTTTATATTTTCATTTTTATATTTCTTTTTCATTTCTCAATTTTTTTGTTTTGTTTCTAACAACTTTTTAGGTCTGACTTGAAACTTTCAAAAACTAAAAGGGAATGAGTTGGAGAAAAGAAAGTGAAGGGCAATTAGAGAAATTATGAAAATAATCTAAAAATAAACAGTTTATTTTGCTCTAGCACAGTTGGCCATAGATGCCAACCCGAGATACAAAAATAGTCGAAAAATAGTGATTACCTAATTGGGAAGGGATCTGTTGACAAAAAATAAAATTTTTTTTCCATTATTTTACCAATTCTTTTAATATTTCAATAATTTAGACATTTTTTATTTAAAAGAATTTTAAAGAATTTTTAATTCTCAGCTAAAAATTCTTTAAGAGTTCTGGTTAGAGTACGTCGAGACATACTATTCTAGTTCTCGTTTAGAGATTAAAACGTTTTTCTTCAAATCTTTTAATTACTCGTAATTTTCATTTATTTTATATTACAAACTAAAAAATTACAGTTTGGGAGGTTTTGGAAATTTAATTTTGGATTTAAATGCCCTTGATAAACCTGAAAAGCACAGAAATGTTTCGAAATTTCGGTTTTTGATTTTTGAAAATTTTTTTATTTCGAAACAGCTTTGCTGAAGAAGGCTAAAAGCCCCCCCCCTCCCCCTTTGAACTCTAAAATAAACACTAAAAAGTAACAAATTTCCAAAATTTACAAAAATTTTATATTCAACTTTAGTTAAATAAAAACTCAAAAAGGGTGTTACATTTATAATTTTAAATTAAAAATATGTAAATATCCCAAAAAATTCATTGCAGGCTTTGTTTCGGGAATAAATAATTCTACTAAAAAATAATTTTTTTTTAAATATTCTACTCAATTCTTAAAAAAAATTTTTTTAAATACTTTTTTAGGGTTGGGGCTTGGTCCGGTCAGAAAGATCGAGTCAGACATAGAATTTTGGCCCGAAAAAGACTCGGTCGATATCCCAAAAAATTCGTCGAGTCGGCCCGGTAAAAATGACTCGAAAAAATACGGCAAAACCCCAACTCTATTCTTTTTTTACTTTAAAACTCGTTCTTCAACTTCTTCTTCCCCTCTCTTTTCCTTCAAAATTTTTTCTTCAATTCATCTTTTTCCCTTTTAAAATTTTATTTTTCTTTTTATTAAATTTAACCATAACTTTTTCCTCATTTTCAATATTTTTAAATGTTTTATAACAAAATTGTCCATTTTTTCCTTTTTTACAATTAAATTGTTCATCAATTTCTTCAATTTTAGTCATTACTCCTTCATGATTTTTAAACATTATTTTGTGATTTTCAAATATTTCTTTATTTCCAATACATTCATATTCACCATTTCCAACTTTACATTCTAAATGAATTTTTGTTGGCTCTTCTTGTGGAAAATTTTCATTAGGGAAATTATTTTTTGGAGTCAAATAAACATTAGAAATTTGACAGGCCAAAATAAGGACGAAAACACAAGTAACAGATTTTTTCAAATTAATTGGAATATTTTGGCATTTTGTAATTATTTTTTCTTTAAAATTTCCAACTGTTTGGCAAACAGAATTTGACAATGTTTTGGCAGAAGTTGTCCAATTTGGGGAGGAAGATTCTTCGCGAGGGGAGGGCATTTCATTAGAAGATGTCTCGTCAGAATTAATTTCTTCTTCTTCTCCCAACTTTTCCCCTTCCATTATTTTCCAATCATTCCCGCTCGGTATAATTGGTTTATTATTTTTTGTTGAATTAATTCCTTTTAAATAAATTTGAATTTTAGAAAAGAAAAGGAGACATCTAACTTGTTAATAGGGTTGTTCTCCGTCCCCGCCCAAAAGTCTGGGTGCCTAACTTTGATTACCTCTCTCTCTCTCTTAATATTAATTAAAAAACAGACCTGGCCATGGACACGGATTTTACTATCAGTATTCGGATATATCCGCGGATATCCGGATATTATCCGTATCCATGTCCGGGTCTGATTAAAAATACCTAACATCCAGCCAATTAAAATTATTAAAAATAATTTTAATTTTAAATTAATCATTCTTTAAAGATTTCTTTTTAAAATAAATAAAGACAATTAAAGTAAAATACAAATTTTTAAATTTAATACGAGGGACTGTGTTTATTTACTATCATTTTCCACTTATATTTATAATGCCCAAACAAATTTACATTTAAAAATTTCGGCATTTTAAAAATAAAGAAAGGGCAAATAATTCTTAATTATTTCTTAATTTCCCTGCCCTTTTAATTTTTAGATGTGTAAAGACAAAAAAAAATATCCGGCATTTTTCCTTTGATTTTTTATTTTGCACTTTTATATTTTTTAAAATAAAAATAAAATTATTTCAAAATTAGCTATTAAATTTTTATTTAAAAATATAAAGTGCAAATTAAAAAATTAAAAGGAAATGCCGAAATATTTTTTGTAATTTTTTTAACTAAAAAATTACAAGGGCAGGGAAATTAATATTAATTTTAATAAATTAAATTTTTGTTTTCCATTATTCTAAAAATTCTTTTAATATTTCAAAAAAAAATTATTTTTGTGTTACTTTAAATAGATAAAAAATTAAAAGAATTTTTTAAAATAAATTTTTTAGACATTTTTTATTTCAAAAAAAGAAATTGTTCCTTTAAAGAATTTTTAATTCTCAATTAAAAAAAAAGGAATTTAAGGAATTAAAGAAGAATTTATTTATTTTTAACGACAAAAAATATTTAAATAGCCATAAATTATTAAAAAAATAAAATTAATATTCTAAAAAAATTTCTTTATAAATAAAAAATTTAGTAAAAGGACAGATTCATTTTAAATTTAAAAAAATGTTTAAAAATAATTATTGTCGAATACAAAAATTGTTGGTTGTTTGTTTATTTTTAGGTGAGTAATTTATTAATTTTTTTAAATTTCTTTTTCTTCCATACGTTTCCTTAATTATCCCAAAAATTAAGCAATCTAGCAAGCAGGGAGGGACTCAATACACGAAACCTGAACCGAAGAAAATTTTGAAAACTCGGCTTGATATTTTTCAATCTGTCCCATCTACTAATATAAACTCATGGAATTAGGGTTGGGAGCCCGGTCCGGTCCGAAATATCGAGTCGGGCATTGAATTTTGGCCCTAAAAAAACTCGGTCGGGTCGGCCCGACAAAAATGACTCGAACGTCGGCCTGACTCGAAAATCCCAACCCTACATGGAATGTCAAAACATTCTCTTTACTATGTCGAAGCTGAAAATTCGAATCGGAGAGAGAACTATAGTGAATTTACAGCCAAAATCTTATTTAGGTATATTTTCCTTTTAAGTAACACCTTCGTTATTTGTAGATTTCAAATTTTCTAATAGAACATAGTTCTAGACAAAATTTGTTTTTTAACATAAGGAGAAGGGACTGGTAATAGTTTGGGGGGGGGGAGGGGGGAGGCTACTTCCAAACTATTACCTAGAGAGTTGCTTACCTTAAATTCATAGAAGGGAGGTACTTATATTTAAATAAAAACTTAAATATCAAGGATCATCCAATCATTCCAAAAAACCATTAAAAAATAAAAAACCCAGTGGAAAACAATACTATTTTTTCTTAATTTAAAAGGTTTACTACTTCAACATTTGTGTAATTCTCATCCATTAATTAAAAACAATTTAATTAAAAAAAGAATTATTTCATCAAAAATTAATTCAATAAATCAACAAAAAAGACATCAAAAAAGGTCTATACAAAATCCAGAAAATGCTGAGGGTCCAATTTTGGATCCAGACGATGGAGTATTTACTCGTTATGGGGGATAAACTTTTTTTATTTTAATTATTGTGTAAATAATAATTTTTTATTTATTTTTGGATTTTTATTTTTTTTGGTAGAAATTATCTTCAATGAATTTATTTAAATGTTTGGATTTGATTTTTAACTTGTGTTGGCAGTTTACGAAATTCCTCAATTAACCGAAACCGAACCGAAACGACAATCCGCTCCGAAATCTTTGGGTTTCGTTCTGTTCGAAACCGACAACTACTTTTAACACAAGAATGCGGTCCATTCTGTATTAACCGAAAATTTGCGATTTTAAATAACCCACAAGATTATGAAATGATCGGAGCCCTATTCGGTGTAACTCCGGCAAAGTCCTTGGTTAAATTGTCAGACAAGGTGATCAAAAGAGGGAAAAATGAATTGATACTAAATATTGCTTTATTTATTGTTAAACTTTAAAGTAAAGTCACGTCCAAATTTATGTCCATTCTCAAATAGCCTGGACCTCCTATTTTAACTCTACTATTGAAATACTTAAAAATTAAAAACAATTATTAACTCATTTAATTTTTTATCAACTAAAATTTTTAACATTTACATACCACTATAAATTAAATAATTTAATGAATCACATCTTTTCTTTTTTAAAATTGAATATATTCAGCATCCACACAGTGGACTTTTTGCTTTTGTAAATTCTTTTTTAGAATTTGTCTATGCTAATATTTTTTTAACAATCCTCAAATACTACATTAGATTTCAACATGTCTTCATCTTTTTAAATGGTAATATTAACAGTTCCATTTCCAACTTTTTCCTCATAAAGCGTCTATAAATATTGAGTAAAAACCAATTTTATCTTTTATATACCCTAATTTAAGCCCATCTCTCTAATAGAAGCCCATTCAGAAACTACGAAAAATCAAAGCCCGGGTCTTAAGTTATAATAGAATCTAGATAAGATTTCGCCCTCAGGCCTAATTGTCGAACGAATTATGAAAGGGCGTAATACTTAAGAGACTATATCGACCTTTAATTGTAATTTACAGTAACTATTAATCTTTTAAAAACTAAAAATAAACCCATTTGTCGAATTTATCCGCTGGTCCATTCTTTCCATCTGCTTCACAGTATTCAGTGCCAGGTAAAACGATACGAGGTGTTATATAAAATTTCAGCTTAATTAGAGGATTGCAATCGCCAGGCATTTTTATAGGATTTGAATATAAATTGCTTAAAACTTCAAAAACAATAGTATTTTGTGATGTGTCTTTAATTATTTTTTGTTGACGAGTTGGTGAATTTAAACGAGCACATGTTATATGAACACAAAAAAGTTTATCTTCTACGGAAATAATTTTGAACTTGAAATTTTTATCGTCGCTTTTGACAATTGAAATAATACAAAGGAAAATAAAAAGAAGAATGGGAATAGAAGTTTTGAACATTTTTTTGTTTTTGTTTTTTTGTCTAAATTATTAAAAAAAAATTTTATAAGAGAAGAAAGTTTCCAAAGATTTTTTCAAAGAAATTCTCTCTCAGAGGGAACATAAAATACAGTAAAGCAACCAAACCCATCCTAGAAAATAGCAAAATATTAGATGGAACTTGGTACTGTCTCCTATTCAAAGTTGTTGTTAATCGCTCAGGCATGCAACCAATAACTGACTGATCATAAACATTTTTGTTTTATGGCTGGGAGGAAACTTAGCTGGCCTTATAATAATGACTGACATATGGAGAAAATATAATTAATTTTTAATAATTTTTATTTATAAATGAATGTTGTTGTTTAATACTAGACTTAAATCAAAATTAATTTTATTTATTTATGAGTAAATGATAAAGAACTTTTCGGCAAATTCAAATAAAATTAAGAAATCGCTTAAAGGGCAAATCTACATAAAAAAAAGTGCCGACATGCTCCCCCCCCCTCTTATCCAATCAATTTATTTTTTAATTTTGAACAGTAAATAAAAATAGAATAAGACATCATAAATCATGAAAGCAAAACACATTTAAAAAAAATAAATCTTTATTAATTTTTGTTTATCTATTGAAGCAAAATTAATTATTGCATTGGGCCAGGGTGGCTTTTTTACAACTTTTAGGAAGCATTCAAAATTTGACTTTTTCGCTGTTTTTAACTTTTTCGCCCCGTTTTCTCCCATTTTTATATTGCCACCTCTTCTCCCTCCTTTCTGCAAAAAAATCCTTAAAAAATCTCTAATTTAATTTATTCCTAGGAATATGATCTTATTATTTCTTATCCTGATTTGCTCAATTTAGTTTCAACTAGTGAATAATTATAGTTGTGTCAATAAAGAATAAGCATTAGGGAGTCGATGTTCTCTATCGAATGGTACCAAAAAAATTTAAAAATTCTTGTAGACAGTAAACTGTTTCCTTGTGATGACAAAATAATTGTAAGTCCATATCGATGTCTCAAAAAATATCGATATTTCTAATCGAGATTCTCGTCCCGATCCGGTATTTAATGTGTATCTTCTTACTCTATTCTTGTTCACAATTTTCATTAATTTGAGGGTTTGTTATAATTTTGGAATTTGAAACTTAATCAAAAAGTTTGTGTAAATTTTACCTCTATTCAATCCACCTCTATTTTAGAGAGGAAAACAAAATTTTAAAAGAAATTGTTTAAAAAACTTTCAAGAAAAATTGTTTATTTGTAAATATTTTGTATTTTTATAATTTTTTAAGAGGGAAATTGTTTAATAAAAGAGATATTTCAAGAAAGAGGGATATTTAATAAAAAGTATCTTGAGAGATCTTAATAAAAAAATATTAAGAACATTAAGATGACAAATTGAATTAAGGGAAGAAAGAAGCATGTGTCGATTTAATTAAATAATATAATATTTTACTAGATACTTTTTCTTCAACAAATATATGAGATATAATAACCATACTTCCTCTTAACATTTTTAGTTTCTTTTACTTTGTGTTATTCTTCACGTTTTTTAATTAAATTCTTCAATTTTGGCAAAATTTGATGGATCAATAAACGTAATTTTTCATCTATAAAAATATGGACAACAATATTTGAAACAAAATCCTTTGGGGTTTTATTCGAAAAAACCAAGTATTGTCCAGTAAGTATCTAAAAGAAAAATAAATTAAAAATTATCAGAAACTAAAAAACTAACTTTAGTAATCGCTTCTTGATTAGTTATGTCATCATATGGCTGTTTTACCTCAAAAATCTCAAAGCATAAAATTCCAAAACTCCACACATCCGTTTTTTTGAAAGAATTTTTTTGTGGATTGTTTCTGGAGCTAAATATTTATATGCTAATTTTTCTCCTTTTGTTGTATTAACAAAATCTTGGCCTTTTGGCAACAATCGAGAGGTACCAAAATCAGATATTTTAATTTGTAAGTCTCTATTTAGAAGGCAATTCCTTGCTGCGAGATCGCAATGGAGTATATGATTTTCATGTAAATAATTTAGACCATTAGTTCTATTAGTCCAATTCTATTAGTAACTGAATACTATCCGAAAGGATCACTTTTTGACTATTTGAAAAAAAACCAAAATTTAAATAATCAGACCAAATTCAAATTTATTATGGATGCTACTAATGGTCTAAATTATTTACATGAAAATCATATACTCCATTGCGATCTCGCAGCAAGGAATTGCCTTCTAAATAGAGACTTACAAATTAAAATATCTGATTTTGGTACCTCTCGATTGTTGCCAAAAGGCCAAGATTTTGTTAATACAACAAAAGGAGAAAAATTAGCATATAAATATTTAGCTCCAGAAACAATCCACAAAAAAATTCTTTCAAAAAAACGGATGTGTGGAGTTTTGGAATTTTATGCTTTGAGATTTTTGAGGTAAAACAGCCATATGATGACATAACTAATCAAGAAGCGATTACTAAAGTTAGTTTTTTAGTTTCTGATAATTTTTAATTTATTTTTCTTTTAGATACTTACTGGACAATACTTGGTTTTTTCGAATAAAACCCCAAAGGATTTTGTTTCAAATATTGTTGTCCATATTTTTATAGATGAAAAATTACGTTTATTGATCCATCAAATTTTGCCAAAATTGAAGAATTTAATTAAAAAACGTGAAGAATAACACAAAGTAAAAGAAACTAAAAATGTTAAGAGGAAGTAAGGTCCCCTCCCCCACCCCCCCTCCACATATATTTGTAGTAGAATTTTTTTCTTTCTCCCTCAAATCAATTACCTTGTCATCTCAATATTCCTTATATTTTTTTTTATTAAGATCCCTCAAAGATCTTTCCCTTTTTATTAAATATCCCTTTCTCTGAAAATCTCTTCTTATTAAATTAAAAAAATATTTAAAGAGATCAAAATAAATATACTAGCCTTTTCCTCCTTCATTTTCTAATCAGCAGAAGACAACCCCAAATAATCATCCATTAAAGTTCCAATAGCAAATATGTCTGTAGCATCAACTCTAATTCCAATAATTTTTAATCGAATCTTTAAAAATAAAAATTTTTTGGATATAAAAATTTTTCAAAGAACCTCATCATCCTGTTTAATAACAATCGTTTCTTCTTGATTTTTATAACATGGTGGAATGTTGTTTGGCTCAAAATCCATGTCCGGAGGTATACAATGACGAGAAATGAAACAACTTAGAGGGCCAATGTCACAGAAAATTCCAACCTTTTTAAAAAAAATTTGTAAAGAATTGTGTTAGGATTTAATAAAGTATTACTTCCAAAGGTAAAAAAAGATTAGATAGACCGATTATAAAAGCTAAAAGTTAAAAAAGTATTACTACCAAAAGCAAAAAGGATTGAACACGACCAATTATAAAAACTAAAAGGTTGATATTTCTTGATAATCTTTAAGAAAATTTAAAAACTAAAAAATTTGACTGAAAATCAGCACAAAATGCTAAACAGATTTATTAAATCTGGATTAACCGAGAAACTGGGGGAGGGAAGGGTTTGTGTCCAACCCCTAGTAAAAGCGATTAAGAATAAAAAATGTTTTAAAAAGTATTTTTAAATTTCTCCAAATTTTAACATTTTCAATTACAAAAAATAAGTTTTCCCTTTTATTTTAAATTAAAAATAAAATTTATATACTTTATTAACTTGATTAACAACAGCATCCATCACTTGACCTTTGAATGGACGAAAAACAATAGCTTTGTATTTGACTGGAAATGTGACAAAGCCTCTTCCTACAAAAATAAAAATTATTTAAAGGTTATAATTGTCAGCGATCAATTTTCTGAATTGAATTTTAACCGGAGCAGGCCAAAGCACCGCGAGCCCAATGACCGCCGAGCTATAACTTCGTTCAAAATTGAATTCGGGCAGCCTTACAATTAGTACGGTTCGATGTGTCTCCTAGGGCGTACCGGATTCAATAATTCCGAAGTTATAGCTCCACGGTACTGGGCTCGCAGTATTGTGGTGACCCATTTAACAAAATTAAACTTTTTGAGTTAATAAACGAAAAACTATACTATAGAAAATTCAATAGCTAATGAACATAAAACTTAAGATCCTTTAAACACCTCTAAATTCAAGATGAGGAAAGCAGGATACCCTATATACAGCTAACCTTTAAATTCTTTTTAAATTAACCTGGTTGAATCATTCCGTGCCCGATTGTATCAATTGTAGTAACAGCAATAACAAATCCATATTTGCCTGTACAAGTCCCTTCTACTTCACTAAATAATTTTTGCTTGACAGTTTCCATTAAACTTTGACCAAAATATTTTGGGTGAAGTTGAATTTCATGTTCTAATGATAAATGGTAAAACATTCTTTTCGAAAAATATTTACTAAATAAAAATTAACAAAAATTTAGAAATATTAATTGTATAAGAACAATTATTTTAAAAAATTAAAAATTCAAAAAAAAATATATTTTATTCAACCACTCCCAAAAAACAAATAATACAGGAAACATCAAATCAAAGATACATAGACTCCGGTGCCCCATCTTTCTTTCTGTAGAGAACATTCTCTTTAGCTTTTCTCATGTCCTCCTTTAAAATAATTTTTAATTAAATTACAAATTTTCTTGGTAGTTAGAAAATTTTTTTGAATTTTCACAGAAAATTTCCCAGTTATTTTAAACGATTTCTTAGGCTATGGGCCCGAACTCGGTTGAAAAATAAATTTAAAAAAGTGATGGTTTCGAAAATTCAGTGGGAGTCAATCCAGTCGCCGGTTTTCCCTGTTATAACTGTCAAGGGACATTATTAAAGTGTCAAGAAATTTAAAAAATCCCCTCACCATAGTAACACGCATTCGACGATCTCGAAGTGCCAAAAGCCCGGCCTCAGTACAGACTGCTTTAACATCAGCTCCCGAAAGGTCATCCTTTGCCTCAATAAATTCCTCCAAATTAACATTTTCTAATTGCATACGGGCTGTGTGAATGCCAAAAATACGTCTTTTAGTTTTTTCATCGGGAAGTGGAAATTCAATTTTTCTATCAATACGGCCAGGGCGAATAAGTGCTGGATCTAATGAATCAATTCGATTTGTGGCCATTAAAACCTGAAAAATACTTTTTTCAAAAATTTTTTAATTTTCAATTTACCTTAACATCTCCACGAGAATCAAAACCATCTAGTTGATTGAGCAATTCAAGCATAGTACGTTGAATTTCGCGTTCTCCACCAGAATTGGATTCATAACGTTTTGTGCCAATGGCGTCAATTTCGTCGATGAAAACAATTGACTAGGAAAAAATTTTTTGAAACTTCTTTAATCAATTCCCAAAAATTTACCGGTGCATGTTCTTCAGCAACCCGAAACAACTCCCTAACCATTTTAGGCCCATCCCCCAAATATTTTTGAATAAGCTCAGAACCAACAACACGCAAAAAGGTGGCAGACGTTTGATTAGCAACAGCTTTAGCTAGCAATGTTTTGCCTGTGCCAGGCGGGCCGTAGAGAATAACTCCTTTTGGAGGTTTGATTCCAATTTCCTCATAGTACCTTTAAATTAGAATTTTAAGGCCAAAATAAAAAAGGTTCAACTACTCTGGATGTGTAAGTGGCAATTCCACTGCCTCCTTAATTTCTTGAATTTGTTGCTCCAAACCGCCAACATCAGCGTATGTTTCAGTTGGAGCCTTTTCCAATTTCATCACAGAAACCATTGGATCCGTGTCATCAGCCAAAACACCAACAACTGCATGTGTTTTGTGATTTAGAAGAACTGCACAGCCTGGCTAAAAAATAAAAGAAATTTATAAAATTAATTTTAAAAAATACCTCCAATTGTTCCTTGTCAACAAATGAAAGAATATTAACATAATGTTCACTTCCAACGTTCTAAAAGTTGAAAACTTGAATAATTAAAACAGTCAACTTCTCTATTTTTACATTAGTAATGCCCCGCTCCTCCCCCATCTCTCCTTGTCTTTTCCTTCCTTGGAAAAAACTGACCATTAAGTATATTATTAAGGAAAAAAGAAGGAAAAGTGGGGAGGGCACGAAGCTTGGAATTACCTTATTTTCTCCAATAACTAAAAAATCAAACCGTCGAAACAACAGCATGCTGATCGTCAATAATCTCCTCCAAAGTACCCACAGCCATTGGTGACCCTCTCATCTCATCAACTTTTGTCCGTTCTTCTTCCTGCCTTTCTTCTTGAGGTTTATGTCTTTCCTGATTTCGAATAAATTCTTCTTCCATTAACAAATAATCTTTAATCCGTTCATATTTAAGAAGACGCAATTTGCAACGAGATACTGGTGTCACATTAGGCATTTTATTGCTAGCTTCAGGTCCTTTACTTCCCTTCTTTCGCTTCCCAAAGCGTGTAGGGATTGGTGGCCCAAAACGACGCTTCTTAAAAAAATGGTTAAAGTAAAATAATATTTAAAGGAAACCTTATCTCCTTCTCCTTGCTTATCTCCTGAACCTGGCTTTTGTTGTTGAAATTGTTGATTTCCCATTGAAAATATTGAGATATTTTATTTAACAAATAGTGTCTCTAAAATATAAATTAACAAAGAAAGAATTTATGGGTGAGGGGCAACTCAAGGAATTCCCAAGCATGGAACAGACGAGACAAGGAACGATTCATGAGTTGGTTGTTCCTTGATTTGTCTTTTCCTTGACTTGTCGTTCCTTGCGTCTTGTCCGTTCCTTGAGTTAGCCCGACACGAAAATTTATAATGAATTTATCAAGAAGCCTATCAAGAAAATTTTTCAAAATAAAAAAATTCGAAGAAAATTCAACAAAATTTTTTTAAAAATGATGAAAATGAAAAGACTGCAGAAAATTAAGAGAAAAAGAAAAAGAGAAAAATTAATTTTTAAAGTGTATAATACGAAAGACCAAAAAATTAAAAATGATTTTTCTTTTAGATTTTCCTCATGTTTTCCAAATCTTGGAATTTTTCTTTTCATTTGTTGCAAGTTTTAATTTTCTTTAAACTATTTTTAGATTATTTTCATAACATGCAAAGTGGAAATTTGCGTTATCCACCAGTCAGATTTATGCGAATTATTGAATCAGCACCTAATTCTTTAAATCGAACTTCTAGACGTCTCGAAATTATGGTTTCTAAGCAGACTACAAGGGTATTTAAATTTCTGAAGAATTTAACTTAAAAAATTTAAAGGTCGCAGCTGTCTCTTCTCGCCTGGAATGGAGAATTGATCATTTTGAAAAGTTAATGAAGTTGATGAAGAATGGACAGAATCTGATAAGTGAGTTTAAGAAGGGATCAGGTTGTTTATTTGCTAGGTATAAGTTCTGATCAGTTCTATTGGATTCCTTTTAGTTGGAAAGTTGGCAGGTTTCCGTCCCTTCAATTTTTCCTAATCCACGATCTGGATGTTTGCGTTAAGTTCTCTCTTCATTAAGCAAAGGAATGTAAACATTAAATCATTACAATTAGTGAGCGAGATTTTCAAAAAAAACCTTGATTTTGGATGGGTACCTTGACCAGATTCTTGACCTTGAGTCAAGGAAAAATCAAGGAAGGCTGAAAAATGCCTTGATCTGGACTCTGGATCCAGGAAAAATCAAGGTCTAGATCCAGATCCAGCTCGCTCTCTAATTACTATGTACTCTTCTTTTCAGGTAAACAATTCGCTTGTTCAACCTGTCCATCTGTAATTTGGGAATTACATGTTTATCCAAATGGAAAGAGAGAGGAGGATGTTAATAGTAAAAATTTTTAAATTTATTCTTTAGTTAACCATATATTTTTTAGATGTTTCTTTTTTTCTTCGCCAAGTGGGCCTTCAACGTGGGGAGGATCCTGTAATGACCGAATTTCAAATTTATGCTTTGGATGCTAGTGATTGTCGTATTAGCGTTTGCAGGTTATTTTGAAATTAATTGAAAGAAAAGTTCTTTTGGATCATTTTAGAGATACAAAGGATTTCTCAAATCAACAAGGCCGCGGGAAATTTCAAGTACAACGAGACAAAATGTTGACAGCGCTACGTCCGGATGGTATATTGAATTTTTTTCGGCCTTTTAAAAAATAAATATTTAGGTTCTTTATTGTTATTTTGCGAAGTTGAATTTCTTCCTCCTGGCATAAAATTAAATGTGGAAAAAGAAGATGATGAAATTGTGGAAGAAACAAATATGGATTCCTCTGTTTGGGTGCAGGAATCGTTGAGAGAAATGTGGCAGCAAGAGACTTTTACGGATTGTATTATTCAGGTATTTTGTGTGTAGACTATTAATCGTAGTCTCTCAGTAGTTCTGGGTTTTAGGGGAGTGAGGGGTTTAAATGTTCTAGTGACTTACAAGAACTCTCACGAACTGTGCGAAAATTTCGAATATATTTTTGCACCATCATGTAGAGAATAATCGATAATATTTTGCCAATTTTAGGCTTTTTTTTTGGCCCTGACCCCCATTTCATAAAGTTATAGCTGGTCAAAGTTTCGGTATTTTGACTTACTTTTCTTAATAAAACTCACTTTTCTTTTTTTAATATTTTTCGGATAATTCATATAGCGGCTGATTTGACCCTTATATTTTCAAACATTGCCAAATTTTTTATCAGGTTGGAAGTGCACGAATGAATGCTCACAGATGTATTCTTGCACAACACAGCGTTGTTTTCCGTTCAATGTTTGCGCAAAAGTCAATGTTGGAGGCTCAAAATGTTTGATTTTAAATTTTCATTTCTTTTATTTATTTGTTTATTAGGGGCAAATTAGCATAACAGATTCTCGTCCTGAATATGTTCGTGCCATGCTTCAATTTATTTACACGGGTTCAGTGGACAAAAGTTTGTAAAGAACTAATAGAAATTTATTCTAATTAATTTAGGTGCTTTGGAAAATTTTGCGGAAGGTATTCTCGCTATAGCTGATAAATATGCTGTAATGCCGTTGAAGGAACAATGTGAACGTTATATGACTTCGATTATTTGTAAAAACTTTTTTTAATTACTTACATATTTTTAGTAAATGGGACACTAGAGAAGTATAGGCTGATCCTGTTTTGGATCTGGGAATTTTAGGAATTTTCCCAGGGCCTGTCAATCCAAACAAAAAGAATCTTCTGGGAACTTAATTTATTCTATTCCTTGAGGCAAGGACACTGAGGATTTACGAATCTGAAATAAAGCGGAGTTTTATTGTTTTAGGCGTTTGGCTTTACATTCCTGTAATTCTAGAATTAAATTAAACCTCGATTTCAAAAATTTTGTTTTAATTTAATTTTTTATTTTTTAGGTGCTAAAAATATTGCTAATCTCTGCCTAATTGCTGATACATATTTTGGATCATATTTAAAAAAGGTTTATTTTAACTTATTCAAAAAATAAATAAATTTCCAGGCTTGTATTAAATACATTTCTTCAAATCACAAAACATTTTTGAGAAGTCCTGAATGGAAAGAATTGAAAGCTGTCAGAGGACAACTTGCAAATGAATTGTTAGAAGCTGTGCTAGATCAAAATGGAAGTGAAGGGATTGATTTGAGTAGCAGTTTTGAAACTGGAGGGACTACAGAACCAAGTACTGGTGGTGGAGGTGCTGGTAGTACTGGTGGAAGTGGAGGTGGAGGAAGTACTGGTAGCAGTTTAAGTATGAGTAGTAAGTTTTTGAAAAATTTTTTTTGAAATCTCAAAAGGGGAAATAATCTTTATCTAACTTGGGGAGATTTTCCTATCTTTTTGAAAATACCCAGAAATCAAAACTGTCCACTATAATACTTCTTTTACAGCCCCAGCAAGTCTTTACGGCGTTGGTGTCTTCTCGCCTAGCAGCAATATATCTCGCAATAATTCTACTTCTGCTTTAGCCTCATTTTCATTAAATACAAGTGGTGGAACTTCTACTTCATCGTCATTACCGTCAGTGTCTAATTCTACAGCAGGTTGTTTTTCTAAATTTTTTAAAAAATTAAAAAAGATTTTTAAGCCTCTTCTTCGTTAATTTATGCCTCTCAGCCTTCACAAGTTTGTTCAACATCATCATCAGCTCTTTCAACTCCAACAACTTCATCATCAACTACCAACGCCAACAATGTCGAAAACAATGCAAGTACTAGCAGCTCTTCTTCAAATCCCCAACCAACGCAACAAGCACAGGCTGAGGAGGATTCTCGTGTACCTGTTAGAAAACGTCCGCGCAGAAAGATTTGATAAAAAATTTTGGTGAGAAAATTTTGAAAATTTTTATTTTTAATAAGCAGACTAGTCAATATATTCACTAATATTTTTAATGAGCTGGAAAAAATTTAGATTTTTTTTATTTTTTCAGTTCCTATTTTAGCTTTTCTAGATATAAATTAATTGATTACTCAATATAAGAGTAAAAAATCGTTTGAGTTTATACGAATTTTTGGGTTATTTATTCACAAAATACTTATAATAGGATTACGATTTTACGTACACCCGATCTACTTTCTATTGTGTATATAATTTTTAAGTTGAATTTAAGCCAATGGGAGGTGATTTCAAATATTAGAAAGCTGCCTAATGTAAGCAATACCTCCATTTACTTACACTTTTTCGCTTTTTATTCCCAAGGGTGTAAAAGTACGATCGAGATCCTAAAATATTCTCAAAAATAGTAAGAAAAATTTTTTTAATACCAATTATTTTTTGTAGTTATGGGGGTGAGAATTCATTTGGAGGAAAGAAAAGTTGATGATTTTATATGATATATAGACTAACTATGAAGATTGTTTTCCTTTTTTGTGATCGACCCAAGTCCCACCCCGTATTTAAAAAATATTAAAATTGTATTTTCTGTTTTGTTTATGAAGGCGCGATTGATTGATCGGCTTTTTTCTTTGAAAATTGGCAGGATTTTTTAAAATTAATTTTGAAATTGTATTATTTTATAAAAATCCTTGCTTATTTTTACCTTATATTTACTATTATTATTACACTGAAAATATTTTTATTAAAAAATGTAAATGAAAAAAATTTTTTTTAAATAGGAAAAAGGAGTGATTTTTATTTTTTAATTCTCTGAAAAAACGTATTTTCATAATTTATTTTTTATTAAAAATAGGACAGAAAATAATTTTGGAAATTATTAACGTTGTATATTAACGAAATTTTTTTCAAAAAAAATTAGAGGGGAGGTTAAATAAAATAATTTTCAAAATTAAAAAAATATTTTTAATTGGAAGAATTATTCTTCGGTTTAGGAGTATTCGGAAGATGTCCTAGAGCTGCACATTTTCCCTCATCACAAACAGCACCTTGACGTTCACTTTGTATTGGTAAAAGATTGTCTTTTACTTCGTAGAGGACACGGCCTGTTCCGCTTAGAGAGACCTAAAAGGATTTTCAAAAATTTTCTCAAAGCCTTTTTTCACCTTTTCCGTTGCCTTAGACCCTCCATTTTTGTCAAATGTTTGTATTTCCCACTGCCCTTTAGTGCAATCCCCCGTTCCATTCACAACAGGATGGAAAGTTTCTTTTTGACGATTTTTTGTAAATTTCCACCTTTTCAAAAATTTTTTATTTTTTAATCAAAAAAATTCCAAACATTTCACTAGACTGCCCACTCGGAGCAATTACTTTAGCATTAAATGGGGTGTCAGTCATTGATTTAACATGAACTATAATATCGCATCTTTCAGTAGATATAAACGATGAATTTAAAAGTATTAATAAAAAGAAAATTGGAAATGTTGATGATGGTGATGATGACATTTTTTTCTTAAAAATGTTTAAAAAGTAAGAATTATTTTTTATTTCTTCACGTTCTAATAAGGAAACTTTTTGTGATCCAAATGCCACGACAGGGAAAAGAATTTTAAAATTTCTGTACCTATAAACATATAGTCTAATTTCTTATAGAGTCCAAAATACTTTTTGTAAGCGACCAGTAAAATAAGAAAAAAATAAGCACTTTTATGGAAGTGGGATGGATATAAAGTTTTTGATTAGATACTCTGATCTGTTCTGATGAACATTTGTAAAACGATTATAAATTTAGGGGAATAGGATAAATTACTTAAACTTGGATAACCTAAACTTGGATAATTAAATTTGAGGACAACTAAAAGATTGAGACTAATAGGGAAAAAATTTAAAAAATTTCTTAGTAAAAAATTTTAGTTTAATAAATATTTAGTTAGAAATTTTGTTTAAAATAAAATATAAAAAGAATTCGAGAAATCTTGTCAAATAAACACATCAATAAAATTGAAATTTTAATTGCCTATTTTTGTCAATCTCGTGTTTTTATGCGGATTTTGGAGGATTATTTATTTGGATTTTGAAATTTAAGGGAAGAGGATAAATTTGGAAAATAAATAAATATGTATACTAATTATTGTAGAAGAAAAAAGGGAAAATAAAAAATAATTGGAAGAGGACCTTCAACAACAATAAAAGAGAGAAAATATTTTTGTCCTTCAATCTCTCTCATTTTTCAATTTTTTCAATTAAAAAATTGATGGAAAATTTTAATTTTTAATTTTAAATGAGAAGTTTGTAAAGATGAAAGTTTTTAAGGAGGAAGAACAAGTGTTTCTGATAAATTGAATTAGTCTCTCTTATCGATCCAGAAAATTTCCTTTGAAAGGAACAAAAAGGAAGGAGAAAAGTGTGGGAGGGAGTTCTAAAAATGAAAGCATTCTGTTCACAAAAACACCTAGGAATGATCAATTTTTAATTTATATCATCCCCAAACAAACAAAAACAAATTCAGAAAAACAATTTTATTTACAACAAATACATAACAATACAATATTATTGGTACATTATATAGGGAAGAAATATACACAATTCATGATTATATATTTTGGGTGGTCCTATATCATCCTTCTTTTCTGTGTGTTCATCTATATCCATCGTCCCGCAGCCATACTCATGCAGCAGCCATAGGAACGTCGACCTTGAACTCGCCAGAAGATCCAGGAGGGAAGATGGCCTTGGCGTCCCCAGCATCTGGAGGAGCCCCAGCGAAGCAGATCTCGAGCTTGTCATCACCTTTTGGCGGGCCGTTCTGGCGGATCACTTCGACTTGGGCAGCGGCGCCGCGAATCCGAAGACGGGGTTGACTCGGTAGTGCTCGTTATTGCTGGACTTGAGCTTGAAGGCGAAGCGGACCTTAAAAAAGAAAAAAGAACAATTTTGATTATAAGAATGATTTGAGAGAGAGAAAAGAGAAGATGATTTGAAGAAAAAATAAATACTACCTCAGGGTTGCCGTTCATCAGCTGAAGCGAGACGTTGCCTCCCGAAGCAGGGACCTGGATAGCAGCTGGCTCGACTTGGACCGCCATTGTTGTTGTGAAGATTGGTTGTTGATTGTTTGAAGAGTTGTCGTTTGTGAAGTGTTGCGTTTGAACGAAATCAGTGGGCTTTTATAGTTGGCTGGGTGTGTGTGATTTCTTCACGGAAATCATGATATAAAAGCTTTGTCATCATCATCGGTCACCAACTCTCAACAACGACAACTCTTCAAACAATCAACAACCATCTTCACAACAACAACATGGCGGTCCAAGTCGAGCCAGCTGCTATCCAGGTCCCTGCTTCGGGAGGCAACGTCTCGCTTCAGCTGATGAACGGCAACCCTGAGGTACATATTTAATTTTAATGTCGTCCTTTCTTTTCTCACTCTCAAATCATTCCTCTAATCAAATTTTTTCTTTTTCAAAGGTCCGCTTCGCCTTCAAGCTCAAGTCCAGCAATAACGAGCACTACCGAGTCAACCCCGTCTTCGGATTCGTGGAGCCCGGCGCCGCTGCCCAAGTCGAAGTGATTCGCCAGAACGGCCCGCCAAAAGGTGATGACAAGCTCGAGATCTGCTTCGCTGGGGCTCCTCCAGATGCTGGGGACGCCAAGGCCATCTTCCCTCCTGGATCTTCTGGCGAGTTCAAGGTCGACGTTCCTATGGCTGCTGCATGAGTATGTATGGCTGCGGGACGATGGATATAGATGAACACACAGAAAAGAAGAATGATATAGGACCACCCAAAATATATAATCATAAATTGTGTATATTTCTTCCCTATATAATGTACCAATAATATTGTATTGTTATGTATTTGTTGTAAATAAAATTGTTTTTCTGAATGTTTTTGTTTGAATTTTTGCTTTAGCTAGGAAGTATAAAAAAGATTAGGGTTTTTGTTTGTTATTTTCCTCAGAATTGGTTTGAACTTGTTCAATTGGTGTTTTCCAATGAGACTCAATTTTTTGAAATATCCCGCAATTAACACCCTTTCTAGGATTATTCCACAAATATCCTTGTCAATTGTTGAAGAACTCCTTGAAGTAAAATTTTCCTTACTTGCCCAAAATAAAATAATTGGATGCGCCTAAACATGTCGAATGATATGTCAGTTGAATCGTCCCGATTAGCTGAGTCGAATAGTACCACTCTTTAGGGGCGGAAATGCCTGTTGACCGAGATATAGATCCCCGAAAATTGAAAACCCATAAGAGGGTAAGCCCATTTTAGGGTTAGAAAATTTTCAAAAATGCGGCCCGATAGTTCTTTATTTTCTTTTTATTTACATCAAAATAATTATTTTTTATTAATTTATTTGTTGTAATAATTATTTTTAAATGTTTAGTGGGCGTTAAATAAAAATAATTTTATTTTTTTAAAATTCTGTCATTCATCTTTTTTTATTCAAATAAATTTTTTAGGTTTATTTTTAAAACTTTTCTTTAAAAACCTTTTCTTTTTTATTTTTATTTTCTTCCACCTAAATATTCCAACTTTTTTTGTTTTTATACATATTTTTCTTCTCATTTTTCATTTTTATAAATGTGAACAAAGGTTGGCTGGAAGAAAGATAAAACATCTGTTTTTTTGGTTTTATTTTTTTTTCAAAAAAATTTTTTTCAAAAATGAAAAGATAAATAAATATATATTTTTTAAAAAGAATTTTTTGCTTTTGAAAAGTGCAATAAAAAATAAATAAAAATATTTTTCTATTTTTTATTTTTTAAAAAATATTTTGGAAAAAATTTTTAAAAGATTAAAAAACTTTTATTTAAAAACATGGCTTGTATAAGAGATTCGATTCTCGAAAATTCCCGATTATAAAATTCCGATATCCAAGAATATATGTGACGAAACTCGGACTAGTTGCGACCTCTCGGAACCGGTACTTGTTTAGTTTCCACCAGCCCCGCCTCTTTTCCCTTTTTCTTTATTTTCTTACAAAATGTCATTTCACATAATTGCCGTCCCGATTCCCGAAAATCGGGAATTTTGTTTTTTAGTCGGCTAGATCCCTGGGGCTTGGAGGGGTTAACAAAAATTGAGATTGATAAGTCTCGATAACCAAAATTTTTGTTTCAAAATCTTTTCCCAATCCAATCTCTAATTTTCTTAATTATTTTATTTTTTTTAATAACTAAAATTGTTTTTAATTATTTAATTTTTTATTTCTTTCTCCCACTAAAAAATTCTTTTAATTCCATCAAAAATTAGCTCAATTCAAAATACTTCAATTAAAAAATAATTTTCTCTTTTAATTTCTAAATTCCCAAATTATTTATCAAAAAATAATTTCTATTTTTATTAAATTAAAAAAATTATTTTTCAACTAATTTTGGATATTTCTTTCTTTGAAAAAAATTTTTTTTTGATTGACAATTTAAAAATAGTTGAGGAAAAGTGAGTGGTTATTTTGTGTGTGTTTGGATCAAACTAGAAAGAAAATATATATTTATTATTTATGATCTAAAAATTGCTTTTTTTCAGAGTAGCATTTGACATTTTTATTTAAAAATATTAACAAATCTTTCTCTTAAAATATTGCTTAATTTAATTAAGAAATTTGTTAGGAAAGATGAAAATAAATAATTAGGTATATTTAATTAACTAATTAAATTATTTTTAATTTTCCAAATTTCGTTTTCTAATTCCAAATATTTTTTTACTTCATTGCTAATCTACATCTTTATTTTAAAAATTATATAATTCAACGTCTATTAATTAAAAAATTAATTCCAGTATTAAATATTATTTATCCCTCTCTATAATTATTTTAAAAATTTATCAGAATTGAATATGACATGAAATATTGAGAAAAATACGGGCACGTTTATAATTTTGGAACAGACTTATTAGAGACCGGACTGGGAGTGTCGTACGAGAATATCTTGTCTCTATTCGATCTCTAGACTGTACCCTCAATTTTACGTACACTCTCTAATTGTGTGTACAATTTTTAAAGGTTAGTTGAGCGGAGGGCTGTCTAAGAAATGCCTTCAATTTCACATATACCTGAGTTCTTGTTTTTTCGTTCCCCAAAAGTTTATTTATACAATCAACGTCTGACCATAAATATTCATTTATTTAGTAATTTATTTTTTTACTTCTCATTTTTAGAGATTTATTATTTAATTAAATATATACAATAAATTTATATTTTTATTTTATTTAGACTTTTTTCCTGTTAATTTCCTTTTCATTAAACAATTGTCTAAAAAATCCTTTCTTTCTTCCTTTACCAAATTAATTTTTTTCTAAATTAATTTCCCCCTTCCCTTCCCCCTTTCCCTCTCTTTCCCCCTCTTTTTACGTCCATTCTCCGTTCAATTTTAAACATTTTTACTTTTCCTTTTTTCTAAAATTTTCAAATCATTCGTCAAATACTTACCTACCTATTCTCTATTTATTTTAACGCGCAAAAATGATTCGAAAAAAAATTAAAAAGAAGAAAAGGTAAATTTAAATTTATTTTAAGAGGAATATTTATGTGGGGTAACTTACCGAATAGACAGTTCACCGAATTTGGAATTTTTGGGCTGCTTATTGTATAATAAAAATATTTTTGAATTTTTGTTAAGAAATACTTTTTATTGTCTCAAAAGACTAAAAAATAAAATTAAAAAATATTTTTATGCACATTAGAAAGCCAAAAAGATTAGACGGTGAATTGTCTATTCGGTGAATTGTCTGTTCGGTAAATACTCCAATAAATATATAAATAAATTTAGTTAATTTTTATTATTTGTTTGATTTTATATTTAATTTTTCTTTCTTTTTATTGTTTAAATAATTAATTAAATTTTTTATTTACTTTGTCATTTCTTTATTTTATTTTACTTACTATTTTTATATAACCACACCTTTATTTAATTTTTATTGTTTAATTTAATTTTAAATTAATCAAAAATTAATTTTAAAAAATAAAAATTTTTAAGATATTTCCAATTTAAAATTTAAAATTATTTTTTCTATATTTATCATTTCCAGCTAATTCTTACAAGGGAAGAACTACAAAAGTTAACCACAATAATCTTTCCTTTTTCTAAATTCATTCACCGAAAAGAATAAAAACGTCACTTACATTTAAATACAAATATTAAAAAATATTATAAAAAATTAAAATTCCTTTGAACAATGACTAGCTGGTATTGAATACCATTGTAGTGTTCAATTATAAATTCCCTAATTCTCGTTTTCTAGAGATCCTTTTAATTAAACATATATGTACTAGAGGTCGGCGCGGGACGGGATCCCGCGCGGGATTTTGCGGGATCCCGTCCCGCAATCCCGCACTTTTTTCGATTTGCGGGATTTTGCGGGATTTATCCCGCGGGATTCCGTCCCGCAAAGATTTTTAAAAAAATTTTATCCCGCGGGATCCCGCAAACACGATTTTGCCGACCTCTAATATGTACACACCTAATTCCTTAAAATTCATCCTTAATCTTTTAAGTTTTTAAAAAATCTTTTTAAACTCTTTACTCTCAACTAGACACACACACTTTCCTCCAACTTTCCTCCAACAAATACCTATATAATTTATTTTTTACTTAATTTTTTTCTTCCACTTTTTTTAAAGTATATACATATACAAGTACTTGAGTTCTCTTAAAATTATTTTTTTCTAAAAAAAAAAGAAGAATCATTTCTCTCTCTTAAAACATTCCCGTTTTTTTTTTCTTCATTCATTCAATTGTTCTTTAAATCGTTGCCTCCTCTTCTCTTTTATTATTTTCTTCTTTTTTTTCGTTTAAAAGACGAACAATGATTATATTAACTAATAAATAAATGATGAATATTATCTGTTGGTGTTTCATCTTTTTTTTATAAAAAAATAAAAAAAAGAGATAATGACAAAAAATGACGCAAAAAGGAAATATTTATTTATATTTATTTTTATTTAAACAAAATTAAAAACATACAAGGATTATTTTAATTATTTTTCACTTTCTCCTTCGTGTTAATCTTTTTTCCTTCCCTGACATGCAATATTAAGTTCTCCTTTATTTTTGTAATTTTTAATTTCACAAAAAAATTTTTTTCAAATTTTTTCTCGACGTCCTTTTCATTTCAATCAACTGTTTTTCCTTAAACAGTTGATTGAAATGTCGAGAAAAAAAATTAACAAAAAATTATTATTTTGTTTTCGGAAAAATAAAGGTTTCTCAAACTAGTAAAATCATTTTATTTTCCTTATTTTAGACATTTAATTCTTTAAATAATTTAAAATTATTTTTATTTTATTTTTAAAGAAAACCTTCAAAAATTACTTAAGCAATAGCGTGACCTTACACACAATTTGTCTGTTTATTGTTTTTAAAATTTAAAAATAAATTTTTTTAGATTTTATTATTAATAAATATGTAGTCTTTTTAAAGAAATCCTTTTTTATATTTAAAAAATTTTTCTAAAAAAATTTAAAAATTAAAAAAATTTTTTTCTCAGAAAATGGCACTTTTCAAGTAACCTTTTATTTCATTTAAGGAAAAATTTTTTCAACATTTTTTTCAAAAATTTTTTTTTAATTTTTTTAAACAATTTTACCCTTTAATTACTACTATATTTAATTCAAGTACACATTTTTATTTAAATTAAAGTTTATTTTAAAAAATTTTCTTTTATTTTTTCATTTCCGTGGCACTCGTTTACGTGGTAACGCGATATAAATGAATGC